ATCGAAGGTCGGTGGTTTTCTCCGGGCGCTCCGGCTTCCTCCACCAATAAAAACTGGCCGCCACGAAATAGCCCAAAAGCGGTGCTTAAAAGTGGCGTTAAAACACCAAAAAATCAAAAATCAAATCAAATCTATTAGTTTCTTTGGAGTAAACATTTCTATTGCATATAACTTTTTTAAAATTGATTGAAATGCGTCAAAATTTTGAAACAACGTTTCTGAAGTCATCAACATCAATTTCTGTGAAAATGAGAATTTTCTTAATTTTGATATTTAACATATCAAAAAACACATTTTTTACAAAAAAAATGTTGCCAAATTTGTAACTAAAGTCGTGTGTACTTTTCACCTTAGAACAACGAAAATTTCTTTGGTTTTCAGTTTCCCAATCGAATTCTTGTCTAATGACCAATTTGAAATTGACTTCTCTCAGACTTTTAATTTTTGACTTTTGAGATTGAAATCTCTTTTGTGGCCTGTAAAATGAAAATTTCTCTGTAAACTCTGCATTAATGTGAAAGTTGTGCTCAAAATATAATATATTTCTACACATCTGTAGTAAAAACAAGAAATTGTGAAACTAAATTATGGTAAGATATGGCGCGTTATTTGTGTTGTTAAGTATAGTATAAATAACCTGTCGTGAGTGATTTTTGTGAAAACTGGAAGCTTACTCTTACATAAAAAAACCCCAATTCTATGGTTATTCAGAATCGCAGTAGTATATTTGGCAAATAGATATACAACTTACAACTCGGAAATGTTATTTAATGATAGTTGTTTGACCAACCATAGGGTTAAGATTTAAACCGAAAGAAGAAGGAGAAGTTGTGATCCATTTTATTTTACAGAAACAAAACCCCTCTGAAATTTTCTTATTAAGTTTTGTTAGTCTATATTGGGAATACATTAGAAGAAAGTGTTTCACCCAATTCCGTATCAGTGATCACAATCTATAAAAGGGTAGATTTATTAAAGTTCATAGAGAAGATAGGCTGTGTAAACTTTTTCATATTCTTGAAAACGAAGAGCATTTCCTCTGAGAGAGTAATATAAATGAGAAATTAAAATTATATCTATCTGATAACGTAAGCGGTGAAGATAAACATTTGTGTCTCTTCCAAAAGACAAAAAAAAATATATAAAATTATTTAACCCTGTATTAAAGAACACGTAAAACTAATCCGCTCCTATTTGAAGCAGTCATTAGAACTGAGGACCTTCTGTTTTCTCCTATGGCGTGTGTATTTTGCAACATTTGTCTTTTCTTACAAGGTTACAGGCATTTCAAACATATTTTTTTTTATTTTTCATCAATCATAGCCGTCTTTTATACTTTTGAACCATGACCATATACTAACTATTTCTGAATTTTTCCACCTGCACACGGTTTGACATTTTTAAATATTTGCTAATCTCATACAAATACTGATGACCAATCATTCGGTAACTTTGCCGGTAAGTACTCTTCTGTTTTGTTTTGATTGTTTGTTTTGCTGTTTAGACACGAAATTTAGGTACTTGTGCCTGGTAAATCGGTTTAAACAGGACACAATTGTGTCACCACCACGCCAAGGTGTCGCGGTTTATGTATTATACTATTATTATATGGCCTTGTCTTTGTATTTCTGTTTTTTATATCTTGGATGGGTTTTATTGTTTGTTTGCGTCGTACGCTTTCAAGAGTTTTTCTTCTTTTTTTTCTTGACTTTTATTAAAAAGGGAAAGATATGATTACCCACAAAAAGAGTGCTATACCCATACAATTTAATCTTTATTCAGAGGTAAAAAAGAAGGGTTGATCTAATGACGGAATGAGTACACCGGTACACTACAATATCAGATATTAGTATGCATAATCCACAATATAAAAATATAAACTAGTAACGCATATATGTGTCCAGGAATGATAATGACACTGCTTTCAGATTCAAATATCGATCCCATGACCATCCGTTTCTAAAAGTAACAAAACCGTCATATTATTTGTCGAGACTGGTATTTAACGATATATTTGTTACAGCACAAATTGGAATTCAGTAGGATCCAGAATTCTCCTAGTACAAATTGGAATTCCAATATCTACTGGTAGAAATTGGAATTCTGATTTATAGTTATTAAAATCCAGTACAAATCAGAATTCCAATATCTAAAAGTAGAAATGTGGATATCCAGATTTGTACTAGGAGAATTCTGCATTGTACTAAATTTCCAGTAGGATCCAAGATATTACTAAAATCAATAGCTAGTATGATTCTGGATTCTACTGGAATTTTTTTTATTACAAGTATTCATTATATCTACTGATGTATTTGATAAGTAGAAAAATAATAATATAATGCCACTTTCAATACTTCATTACTAACAAAATATGGTAAAATACATAAACTTTCGTTAAATTCTTTTATTTATAATTAATTGCTAATATTTTGTTCATGGTATTTTGATAAGCAAACAGTATTAACTTTACAACATGAACCACAGAGTTCAGAAAACAGATTTTGGGGGTGCATTGCATTTGCGCCAATTTTTACAAAATCCGATCTTTCATTTGCGCCACAAGGTTATATGTCATTTGCGCCAAAAAATAAAAACTACATTTGCGCCATTTTACAGGTAACGTATAACGGAAAAGTTTAAAATATATATTGCTACATCGTGAATAAGATTTTTTTAAGTAGTCCCCTTGGATAACTAACTTAAGTTCATACTTATTTTTTAATATAAAACTGAGATTCGTTTAGCTTTAAAATTATATAGTGTTCACATGTTTGATGTGTCAAGAAGGACATAATTTGTCAATTCTGAGTTAGTGTCCGTAAGTTTTCTCAGAATTGGATTGTTTCATATTTTTCATGTTGGGTCCGTTATTACCGACTATACGGAATGGGTTTTTGAAGGCCGTACGGTTGTCTATGATGGCTTTCATCCACTTTATTTGAACTTTGGTGGATAGTTGTCTCATTGGCAATCATATCATATCTCCTTATTTGTATATAGAGGAAGTAAGTCTGTAATTTTTTATGACCACACATATAGGTTATCCAGTGTAAATGAGAAGATTCGAGCCGTTGCTTACAAGTCTTGTATCAGAACAAACTTTTGATTTTACTCCAGTGTATAGTGGTTACGATGACTGATTTCGGAGGAATATGTTTTATTATGTAAGCAAAAACTGTGTTTAAAGTTATTATTAAAAGTCTCTTTTGAATAAAACTATTTTTTATACTATTTACCTGTATTTACCTGTATTATTGGCGCAAATGAAATGTTTTATTTTGGCGCAAATGAAATATAGTTTGTGGCGCAAATGAAAGATTATTTTGGCGCAAATGATGTCCAATTGGGGCAAAAGCAAAGCACCATATTTTGCGTTTATTAACAAGGTTGTCCTCGGAATGTAAATTTTGAAACATTATTGAACATCTAACATGTTTTTGTTATATTTTGTATCGAAAGATATCATAATCATAAATGAATTAATTTTTATCTGATAGACATGATAGACAATATCTAAAGTACTTCCAATAAAATTTTAGTTTTGGTTAAGAATGTCCTGATACTTACTAAAACTGTGCCAAAATTGAAGTGTTTCACAATATTTAAGTATGGTGCATTACATTTGCGCGCATTACCATTACCATTACATTTGTTGCGCGCAAAAATCATTACGTTTGCGCGCAGCTTTTGGTTACAATTGCGCGCTTTATTTCACAGGTAAACTCAGGTGAATACAGGAAGATTATACTTATTTATTCATTTTTAACTATTATTTTCGAGCAGGATAAGTCCGTTTTATTATGCACAAGCACTTAGTCCTGGAAATACATACATGCAATAATGTAAAAACATAGCAAATCTAAAGATTTTAAGTTCTGATTTTACATGTCGTAACGTTCCGAATCTGTGAAGCCCACTGCTTTAAGAAAACACAAAACACAAAAATTCTATAAGTACATGAATGTGCTGCATAAGATTGCTCATTGTAGTGAGCATAGAATGATTCCGGGCTGTTTGTAGTACGCATTGATTCTGCTGATGGTCGTGATGCCCAAAGATTTGGAGGAAATGGAGAATATGCTGAAATACCTTTCCAATTATTTACGGTGCATTGCCATGAAATATCCCCTGATTTAAATGTTCTATCGATACGGAAAGTAAATCCATCGTACACTTATGATTTTTTTCCTCAGACTTGTTTCTGACAAACGAAACTCCATGTTTCTGCCTTGACGCAACTTTACAAACTAACTTCAGTAAATAATACTAAAGCTATCACTATTCGGTAATTGGGAAACATATTTACTATTTATTTTGCAATTAAGTTACAAATATGTGTTAAGCTATTACGGGATTTTTCATGATCACTTTATAATTTTTTAGAATTCAATATGAAAAATATATAATTTGATAAGTATTTTCAAAATTCATAATAACTATAGTCATACTTATCATTATGAATGACTTGATTTTTTTTACCTGTGTTACCTGTAAAATGAATGCGTGCAAATGTAATCAAAAGCTGCGCGCAAACGTAATAAACTTCAATCCCCAAATGCGCGCAAATGTAATGGACCCATTTAGGTTCAGACAAGTTTGATTATATATATTATGTCATACTAGCTATCTTGTTTATTTTCATTATAGATAAGAACAAAACATTTCATTTATTGTGTCTTTGTTAGTAATCACCTCCTAAAATCCAAGATCCTCTTAGTACAAATCTGGATATCCCAATTTCTACTAGTGGATATTGGAATTCCAACTTGTACTAGGAGGATTCTGGATCCTACCGAATTCCAATTGTACTGTAATATGTACATTCGAAAAAAACGAGATAATTTTTCAAGGTCAAGTTATCTTTCGATGAGAGAGATTGTACGTACGTAATTCGTCGAGCTAGATTCGCTTATCAAACAAAGAGACAACGATAATGATGCATGTATGATAGGTTGCAATGAACCCCAAACAATATTAATGAATAGTATAGGAAATGTCAATTCATATAACTTCACTTTATTGCAATTTTTGGGATCTTTTTATCAACGACCACACAAAAATCCATGACATGGTATCGTAATGGACAGCTCTGCTCGTAAACATCCGATCATTTTGGAACCATCCAGTACTTCAACTCTTGCTCTAAAATCACCCTGCAATAGACAGACAAAATGATTGATCAGATGTTTTGTAGAGTAAACCAATGTTTCTTAAAGATATAACACATCGTGATCGTGATGTTCATGTGACGATGGGAAAGAAGAAACAGATGTACTATTAGTTTAAGAATCATCACATTTAATACGAGAGTGTCATCAGATAGCTATATCCATTTTATTCACTACAAGATGGAAATTGTCACTTGCATTACGTTATTTGTAATTTGCACCCTATTATTCGCATTGTGTCCGTTATTAAATAAACAGCTGCGCCACGAGCACATGATACGCCCGTCGTCTTGTGTGTGAAGTTTTATGCAATAATCATAAATAGTTTCTGAGATACGGCGCGACATGTGACCCCCCCCTTTTTTTACAAAAAAACTCAATAATTCTAAAATAAAATTTTGAATCATCACCAAAAAGTATACAGATCTTTAGATAAATATAACTAAGAAGTTTGTAAAGTTTTAAGCAATAATCATAAATCGTTTTTGAGATACGGCGCGACATGTGAAAACCCCCCTTTTTTTACAAAAAACTCTATAACTCTAAAAACAAAATTTTGAATCATCACCAAAAAGTATACAGATCTTTAGATTAATATAACTAAGAAGTGTGTAACGTTTTAAGCAATAATCATAAATCTTTTTTGAGATACGGCGCGACATGTGAACCCCCCTTTTTTTTTTACAAAACACTCAATAACTCTAAGATAAAATTTTGAATCATCACCAAAAAGTATACAGATCTTTAGATTAATATAACTAAGAAGTGTGTAAAGTTTTAAGCAATAATCATAAATCGTTTTTGAGATACGGCGCGACATGTGAAAAAACACACCCCTGTTTTAGTTACAAAGTCCCGTAACTCAAAAAGTTTTAATCTTATATTCACCAAAAAGTATACAGATCGTTTGATCATTATAAGAAACAACTATATTAAGTTTCATGAAATTTGGATAAGGTGTTCTCAAGTTACGGTGCGACATGTTTATGCCGGACAGACGGACAGACGGACGCCGGACATTTGTATACCATAATACGTCCCGTCAAAATTTTGACGAGCGTATAAAAAAACCGCAATGCTGGCAAAACTGCTTAAAATTGGATATTTGAAAACGGCACAGAAATGCATTTTGATTATGCTGTATCTCTCTACAGATAAGGAGAACCAAACAAATAAACTGTTAAATAGAACCGGCGATTAATCAGTGCAATGTTTTTGTTAAAGCACAAAGGCTAAATAACATTGAAAGTGAAAAAATAGAAATAAACAAACAAATAACAAAAAAGAGAAAAACAAAAACAAAAACAAAAAGTACAGAACGCATTTGTTATCAAACCAGTGTACCTTTTGGCAACGAGATTGCACGAGTTGTTGGTCTCTTTAAGTCTTACTTAGTTCAACCCCCTACCCCCCCCCCCCCCGAAAAAAAAAAAACCAAAGACAAACATGAAAAAAAAAAAACAATATGATAAAAAATACGTCAAAGTAAAATGTTCAATCTGAAATGCGAAGATGAAGGTATGTAGATTTTTTACTTTATTCAGGTAATGAACTTTAACTGCTATTTCAGATACGATTTAATGTCATGCAATGCCTTGAATATACTCACATTAGCCAAGAAACTCCATGCTTGTGGAATCGTTTTTACTTCAACGGCTGCATTCTTGACATTTAGTGTGACAGGATCAAAGGGACATGTACAGCTTAGACCATTGTCGATGAAGGCTTGTGGACAGGTGTGGTTTGAAGAGAATGTTTGTAAGAACTCACATGGATCGTCGTAAACGCTGAAAAATAAAAAAAAAGTTATCTAGAAGTTTTAAATTATAGATGATTTTTAATTTCAAAATTCTAATGACTGATGGGTCCAAATTTTTATTTTAACACGAAGCATACCCCAACTCGTAATGCAATGTACTAAAAAAAAGAAAGTAGGTGTGTGACCGATACCACAAGCACACACCCATTACAACTCATCACTGCCTAGCTTAAGAAAGATATGAAGTCATCCTGTTCAGTAGTTGCTTATATACAGTACGAAATTCCTAATTTTCTTTTTTTCTTTTTTGTTATTGTTTTAACGTACTATATTTTAAGAATTGATATTCTACTGAAGACTGTTCAGAATTTTTTGTAAATTTGGCTATATCGTCCCCCCACCCCCACACCCCCCCCCCCCCCCAAAAAAAAAAAAAAAACTCCTTAAAAAAGAAATGCAACCCACCGACTCCCATAAAAAGTTTCGACCTCCCTAATTAAAAATTATTCCTAAGGTCGGTTGTTCAGTTTATATGAAATGATTTGAATGCGTCCATTAGACTTTGAATTGAGTCTTCAACGATTTGGCTCTGTGTGTTCCGAGAAAAGTTTGTCGAGAAATGCGCGTCTGATGCATTTATTTATTTTCGTAAAAATAAGTATGAAGCTACAAGAAAACCCATGAAGTAGTGTTTATAACATACAAAAAGTATTTACCATGTACCAACTTTATGAGCGCATGGAACAGCGTGCCAGTTACTTAGAAGTTTCTTATCCATGGTAACATTTAATCTGTAGTGACTGTTCGTCTGAAGTCTGTGTGCAAGATCGCCAACAATGGTTACACTTAGATTTCCTGGTATGTGTACAGGCTTTGGAGAAACATCAAAACCGGTCATATGAAGCACACGTGTATTTGGATCGGCTGAAATAAGATAAGGTATTTAAACTTCTTGGGATAGGACTAATGTCCACTGAAATTATTTCAATCTAGGACGATTTTCAAACAGTATTTTAACCAATAGTAATATTCGCATTATCACAGCTTCATGTTTGAACATGCAACCAAATTGTATCTAAACATTGTGTGTGAAATAAATTTTCCATGCAGGTTTACGAATGAACTCTAAAACTTTAAACTCGGTTTATTCAGGCGCTGAAACGTCCTATTTGAAAATCCAGGTAAGGTTAATATTCCGGCGCTAAAATGTCCTATGATGTAGGCGCTCAAATGACCCTATGTGCATTTTTTACTTTGTCTCAAATGTCCTATGCCCGGCTGTTCCTACATTTTGAATTTTATTTGTAAAATATTAAAATTCATGTTGGAGTTCCCAGAATTATTTTGTTAACAAAGAGATTAAGTTGGATTAAAGTTGGATTATGTTGTAACAACAATTGACTGATTATTCAAGGTAAAAACAGGTAAAACTTGTGGAAATGAAAGAGAATGAAAACGTTTTATATATGACAATAATTTTTAATGGTTTTATAGCATATAGTATTAGCATAATGTCTATCAAATTGAATACATAGTAGTACAAAATTATCATTAAGACACATTTCAGTAGCCCTTAAGTTTAAGTCAATGTGCAAGAGCATCAGCATACTGAATCGGAGTAATTTCTTCATTCTGTAGTCCTGTTTTCAATGTTTCAAGTCGGTTGTCGATTTTCTTTCTTGGGAACATGTTTTCTTTTCCCCAGCTCTTTATTGGAAAAGGGTGCATGCGTGGATGGCTTCTTCGTTTCTAACAGCTTGATCATACTAAAGCTGTTTGGGTGTGGTACCAACTTCTTCAATCTACCGTGCCGCCGCGTGTGCATGCTTTCCAGATGATTTTGTGTATTATGACCTTCTGTTGCGTAATGGTTCCATAGACTGTAGTTGCCTTCCATCCAGCAGGCCAGCAGCTAGTAATGAAATAAGTGAAAGCAAGGTTGGTATATTAGTATCTGCGCCATCGATGTTTTCTAAACCAAGCATCTTTATTGTGTTCGGTGGTAGAAGTGGTAGAACAGCAGCTCTCCGAACAAGTAGATAGATGTTGTCGTATTCTGTGTATGCTGTCTGCAAACCATAATTTTGTGCGTTTCTCCTTATCAAAGCTCAAATTTATTTGGCTTAGCTTTATTTAATAGTCACTAATACTTACTGCACTGCTCATAATTATTATTTTTTAATTCATTGTAATTGATCTTTGATTACGAAATCTCATTTTAAATAAATGATAACTTAATCATGATAAATAATGATTTTTATATAATGGTGAAGCAAGCAGTTTAATTAGCAAAAAATGATTGAAATCCCTTCTTTTGAATAATAAATCTGTATTTTTTGGTAGTTTTGAATTTTAAAGATGTAATATCTTGATAAAAGCGTTTACCGCAAAAAGATAAATTTTATTCATTATTTCACCATCAAATTTACATAAATTTAATGTTCCCTAAATATTTAAATATTTTAACTCGAAATCTTAATTTTTCAAATCTTGAAATTTTGACTTTCTAAAATCTTGAAATTCGACTTTTTAAAAAGTCGAAATTTTAACTTTTTTAAAAACTCTAAATTTCGACTTTAAACTCAAAATTTCGACTGTAAACTCAAAATTTCGACTTTAAACTCAAAATTTCGACTTTTTTAAACTCATAATTTCAACTTTTAAAAACTCAAAATTTTGATTTTAACTTGAAGTTTTACTTTTTGAAACTCAAAATTTCTACTTTTTAAAACTCAAAATTTCAACTTTTAAAAACTCAAAATTTTGATTTTAACTTGAAGTTTTACTTTTTGAAACTCAAAATTTCTACTTTTTAAAACTCAAAATTTTAACTTTTAAAAACTCAAAATTTTGATTTTAACTTGAAGTTTTACTTTTTGAAACTCAAAATTTCTACTTTTTAAAACTCAAAATTTCGACTTTTTTAATCTCGAAATTTCTACTTTTTCTAGGTTTGTAAACTTTGATGTTAGTTAGTATTCAAACACAGTTATTACAATTTTAGAAGTAGGAGACATGGACGCAAATTATTAAAGCGTCATCCACACATTTTGAGAAATTTATATTCAGAAATTGGTTTTGTTCTTAAATTATGATATGGATTAGCATTTAATATTGAAGAGTTTCATTCGGAAAGAACATGCATGTTGACAGAAAAAAAATGTTGTTTTCCCATGTTCAATGTTTTAGTTTCCACGACACTGTCATAGGATCGTCAGATCTGAGGACATTTAGCATCCCATGTTTTATGGTTAGTTTTAAAGGCCTGTTTGGTTTCCCAAAAGCAAGTCACTGACTTTGCCTTGTTTAAGCAATGGTAAATCAAGTGGTAAATATGCCATACATATTCAGGACGGCTCATGAGCTGCTCAGTTATCTAGTTTTGGAATTTTGAAATGTTGGTTCTTTTTTCTGGAACATTGATTAAACTCTACAAGTTGGCATTCTTATGACACAACTATTAACCCTTGTCTTTATATATTAGACTGTTGAATAAAAGTATGGCGTAATATAGGTGTGTCGGAATAACGGGGTTGTCCTGATACACATATCTGAAGTCCAAACTTGAACTATGTATTTGATTTAACTATTTTTCTATCTAAAATTACCTCTTTAAAATGTTTCAGTTTATTAATAAATGCTTATCAAGCTTATGATGTATATGGTTCTCCGCTTGCTGATAAATAACTGTGAATGTGATAATCGCAAACGTGTAAATACTGATTAAAAGTCGAAATTTTCAGTTTTAAAAAGTCGAAATTTCGAGACATTAAAAGTTGAAATTTTGAATTTTGAAAAAGTCGAAATTTTGAGTTTAAAAAAAGGTCGAAATCTTTTGTTTAAAAAAAGTCGAAATTTCGAGTTTAAAAAAAGTCGAAATTTTGAGTTAAAAAAAGTAGAAATTTCAAGTTTAAAAAAAGTAAAAATTTCAAGTTAAAGTTAAAGTAAAAGTTTTCGAGATTTGAAAAGTTAAAATTTCAAGTTAAAGTCGAAATTTTAAGATTTGAAATGTCAAAATATCGACTTTGAAAAAAAAGTTCACTGCCAATTTTATTTTTACTATGTCCCTAATACGCTTTCGTAGATTTCAATGCAGACAGTTTTTAGAAAAAAGTTAACGATGGATGAGGCATACGACTGACGACGGTTAATAGAAAACTACACACGACGGACGCTAATAACTTAAGAACAAAATGTCAAGTGAGCTTTAATTGAATAATGCTATAAATCAGTATTTGCCATGTTTAATATACAACCGAATCGGTATTTGATAGACTTAATAAGGAACAGAAAATAATGATAACACTGGTGTAATTAAGAACAGATGTTTTTAAATCATGCATCAAATATTTTTTTCTATTGAATTGCTTGTCAAACGAGGAACAACAATGTTCTTTTCATCAAAATATTTGTATCCCGTTCAGGAAACACTTTTATAATGATAAAAGGTGTTGCCTAAAAATTTCCGTTTCCCGACAGTTACTACAAATATAAAAATGAATACTTACAACAGTCGGACCATTTAAATGTATTGTGAGTTGCAAATAATGCAAAACCAGAGGCAACAAAAGTAAAAAACCAAATCAAAGAAAACGATCCCATCCTGTTCTTCTGTCTGTAGACCTGTCGACTATCAGACCACGTTTTATATCTTTCTTATCTTCAAGGTTCCAAAGTGCGCGGTCAAATTCGTCATACTGGCATGCACGGAAGTGTTGTTACAAGGCTAACGGAAAGAAATATATTTATTTGGAATCTACATAATTTATTAAATATTTGAAGTCATGGATATTGTTAATAAAAGGAGACATAGGTCCTTAAATACATCTAGTGGAACACATACAGTATTATGATGTCTCATTGAAGTATACCACAAAACTCGATCCTTTTATTCACAATGCAATGTGTATAAGTTCCTTTATGTCTAGGCAACATAACTGGCTGAATTATATTTGTTTTATTAAGTTTTAAAGAATTTAGAAACTACTTTTGTGCCAAAATGTTGACCTACGGTATCGTTTTTACTACACAGGGAACACAAATTTTCGGGAGAATGTTTTTTTTTTACAGAACTTAGTTATCTGGAATGTGAGTCAAAAAGTGTAGTCCGTTTCTTTTTTTGCGTAAAATAGTCTTTGAGTTAATAACTGGCGATAAGGTAGGAATTTTAGATAAAATTAGGAATTACTATCCGTATGCATTATACATTCCGGTACATTGAAATTCATTGTCAAATTGATAAAAATAGTTTAGATCTTAGGTTCAAATTAAGTAGTTATCTAGAACGCTGTGCAGTTTAACACGTTGATCGGTGTTAATGCTGACTTTCTCTGGCCGAAAACGAGATTAGTGAAATATCTAGAGCAACTTTATCAGGAAGTGTGTTGAATGTTGTGTTTTGTGGACTGTTGTTTTTCATTTCGTCCCCTTGTCAACATCCCTTTTTCATTTATTTTGAAATTTTAAATTTAATTGCCTGCCTCATATCCTCTTTCTTTTAAGACACACATTCCTTTCTTATAAACATTTGTAAACACGCGATAGTTATTTCAGAAATTTATAGCCTTGCCACAATCTACCGATAGAGGACTCCGGTATTTAGACAATATGCGTACAATTTCGGCAAATATGACAATTTGTAAATATTTAGAAAAGGGGAGAAACTTCTGCTTTTGCGACTATTTTATTGCCTGCTTTTCAACGAATACAACGCTGTCTGCGTTCTACAATATGTCTGCGACCTTTCACCTAGCCCCCACAGATATACTATTATATGTACAATGTAAATGTTTAAAGGTACACTTTTATCAGATACTAAATGCATGGATTGCACTATAGCAGGTGCAAGTCCATTTTAGGAATAATTATTATGAAAGACTTGAATTGTTCGTTCTATTTTGTATAAAAATATTTTTAGGGATAGTTTCAGACAACAAATGAGTAAGATATAAAAGTCAAAGTGAATATTATTAGTTACATAGTGTGCTGGTGACCTAATACGATATATATGGGGTCAGTAAATTCCATATGGGGCGAGCTAGAGCGAAGCGCGAATATAAATACACATACGCTGTGTAGTTGATAAGATTACTTTACCGTCACCCATACTTGAGTATAGACGAGAAAATTGAACTTTCAAATTCACTAATCTATGTTGGAATCCCGTGGATTATTACATTACATTTCCAATTTTTCAAAGGAACAAGGCACAGACAGTTTTTAATCCACAAAAAGGGCTGCAATTTGTTTTATATTATTCAATGTAGATAAACAGATTTCTGGAGTGTTGTCTCTTTGACCAATCCCTCGAACCCACCACTGTACCTTATCCACTTTCCCGGCACGTTTCGAGTTTAGACGGCTCACTTATTTGCAGGTTGTATCCTGTAGCCTATACTCACCGTTTTAAATTCTAAAAATCGGCTATTTAGTTTGACTTCTACCTCATTTTGTCTCTGGTGGAAAGTTGTCTCATTGGCAATCGTACTACATCTTCTCATTTTGATATTAGTTATTCGGCCGATAGAGCTCGAGATTACATTTGAATTTTGAGTTCTTCTTGTAAAAGTACTTGCAAAATTGCTGCTTAAATTTCAGTATTTTCTATAGATATCAATGTGCATGATCACGTTATTTTCATATTTTTGTTATTGAAAGCTATTGGAGTCAAACTACCAAACTTTGCAAACTTTTGAATGCAGTGCGGAATAATCACATATATTTTTGACAGTTACTTTTCACAAGTTGCAAGTTTTTCATTTCCGTAGCATACATTACAAAAATTGATAAAAATGAAGAATATAATTCAAATGAAAAATATGCAATTTGCAACATTTTTTTTTATACAACAAACATTGGAATTGTGGATTCAAAGTGACCTTTGAATACAAAATGTACTTCTATGAAATGTAAAAGTAATTATGAACGTTTTTTTGAACTTTGATGAGGTTCAACCATTTAACCTCACCAGTTTTGACTGATCTCATCCTTAAACGCAACCTATGTACATACATATTAAAATGATTTAACAAGTGTTTTTATACAAAATCATCAAATGAATAATATTTTTCTCTCCATTTCATTTGAAAACCTTCATGAATATATCATATATTCAATATTTGTTCTAATTCATTTTTATCATAGAATGTAACCGACTTTAAATTTCCGTCAGTTATCTTTCTCACATAAACGTTGGACAGAAACCTCAAAATGGAAACACTATACGATATAAACGTGTCTAAGAATAAAAAGTGTGCATAGTGCAAAGAGGTGACATTAAAAGAAAAGAATGAACATAGAGATAACAATGATACACTAGTAACAAATAAAGAACCATTCAACGTTAAAATATAAATAAGAAGATGTGGTATGAGTGCCATTGTGACAACTATCCATCCAAGACACAATGTGTAAATAGTAAACAATTAGAGGTCAAAGTACGGCCTTCAAAACGGAGCCTTAGCTCACACCGAACAGCAAGCTATAAAGGGCTCCAAAATGACAAGTGTAAAACAATTCAAACAGGAAAACCAACGGTATAATCTATATAAAAAACGAGAAACGAGAAACACTTATGAACCACACAAAAAAAAAACAAAAAAAAAAACGACAGCCACTGAACAACAGGCTCCTGACTTAGGACAGGTAAATAAAAATGCAGCGGGTTTAAAAGTTTTAACATGCGCCAACCTTCACCTAACCTGAAACAGTGGTGTAACATTACAACATAAAAAGACACACAATAAAATATCAATTGAAATGGCTTAACTCGATCAAAAAGACATATTCACAAACAAGTAAATATACACTGAACGAATAAGTTTGATATATGACACAATATAAATAAAAAAGATGTATCAATGTCAAAAAGACAACTTTAACATAGGACAAAATGACGTTAAATAAAGTAACGTACACAGGTAAATTTAAATATAATAATTTTGTTGTTAGGAGTACCGAAAAATTTGTTTACAAAATAAATTTGTTGTTCATAGTACGAGTACAGAAGTGAAAAATTATCGTCATACTAAATACTTATCAAAGGCGATACATATTATATCATATGACAGTTTGCCGTTCCATAAATATCTCCCTTTGCATGACCAGAATGACCGCATTACAGTTGGGACATACACCATAAAAGTCTCGTAAAAAGTTAAATAATAAAAATACCGAACTCCAAGGGAAATTTAAAACGGAAAGTCCTTTATAAAATAGCAAAAATCAAAAACTCAAATACATGAAACGAATGGAAAACAACGGTCATAATCCTGACTTAGTACAGATACATTTCCTTGTGTAGAAAATGGTTGATTAGACTGGTTTTATAGCTAGCTAAACCTCTCACTTGTATGACAGTCGCATGCAATTCCATTATATTGACAACAATGTGTGAGCAAAACAAACAGACATAATAGGTAAAAATGTCACAAATAGAGGTACAGCAGACAACATTGTAATACAATTTTAATCACTATAAAACCAAAGTGCAGAGTAGCTGGAAAAATATTAAACGGTATTACATAATTACGCCATGATACATAATTACGTCCGATCATGACATTTTCTTACCTTGAACTTTCCCACTTTTAGCTTTTAGAATAGCTTTCTTTGACAGATACACAAGTATTGGTAGAATAAGGAGAGTTTATTTACTCCAGCTGTTTCGACGATACCTGACACATTATACAAAATGTTGTCATTAATTTTAGTTTTATTCATCATTGGTTTGGTCAGTTCAGATCAATATTCCACTACTGTTACTAAGATTCAAAATGCAGACTTCGGCAATACGAAGTTAGATTTGGACAGTTATAGAGATATCGCTCAAACACTATCGGATGTGAAACAGGCATCTTTTCGGATGGAACAAAAACTTCGCCATATGTACACAGGTAAGAAATCAAATTAAGCAAATTCTTATTTGTATTCATTAAAAGTGTGTTGCAGACATTTGAAACTTTTTTTTAGATTGAATAGGATGAGCTTGATCACAAATATAAACAACAAATGAAAACACAATTCAAGACTTGAGAAATATTCATAAAATCTAAATTTAAATGAACCGATATTAACTGACTGCAAGCAACATTTCCGTACAAAATTGACTTCATATTTTTGAAATATTTGAACTGATCTGAACGAACCAGAATGCACTTCAGTTATTGTGGCGAACTCATGATTTTCAAAAAGAATTTCTCCTAAAAACTGAGAGTTGGGAAAGGGGCGATGACAATTAATAAAAATGTGCTGTGAAACCGACTCTTCCGCCATAAGAGAGGCGTGTTTGGTTTTAGATCATCACAAAACATGAATTAAAGCAGAAATTATAAGCAAAATTATTGAACAAAACACTCATACAAAAATCACCCAAAAATAATTTATCAAATGATTGTTTTGGTATTTATTTGATATTTACCTTACATTATAAAAAAGCGCAGAAAACAGTTACATTTAGATGAACAAAGCCTTATTTTGATTTTAGCGCCTTTTTCGATGGAGTATTGTTAGAACGGAGGAAAATGCTTGAATGACACATGTCTGTGAAACGATGGCTTCGCCGGATCAAAATGTGAAAAAGGTTCGTTGTATTTTGTATTTAACCCATTCAGGTATATTTTTTCCTTAAC